TAAATTGAGCCCCCCCCACCAGGGGCACTTACTCTGTCTTCTTCTTTCCCCCCAAAGCATGCATTATCCGCAAACAGTGTTTGTTGTCCAACAGCAATGCCATGGGAGTCACATACACAATTTAAAGAAATTTTAGTAACTGATTTTAAAAAGTACAAAAGAAACGGGCAGAATTTGTGTTAATAGTGTATTTTATGTAGCTCCACATATCCCATTTCAACATGGAATCAATACAGAATATTGAGATATTTCATGTTCTCTCTCACAGTCTTTGAAACCTGGCGTACGTGACACAGCCTTTCCCCCAGGACGAGTGCCCTGTGGCCACAGGCGGGGAGCGGCCTCCTGCACAGCACAGCTCTGACACGGTACAGACTTGACCAGTGATGGCGCTTGTCATCTCGGCCTTGTTCGTCACTGGACTGCAAGACCCGCTAGGCCAGGGGGCTGTTGCGGCCAGTGCTGGGGCCCTGCACAGGCACAGGGGGGGTGCTCAGTGTCAGGCGCCTGAACCCAACAAGCGAACGTGAGCTCTGGTTCTGCCCTCGCCCTAGCTGGGACCTGGGTGGCAAAGGTGACGGTTTCCTCTTCCCCCTTCTCCCCTAGTTCCTTTTCCTCAGGGAAGAGAGCAGTGGTTTCTGCCTGGCTCTGGAGCCAAGTGACTTTGTTTCAAGTCCCTGCTCTGCCACTAACCCAGGATGACTCTTTTGAAACAAGACATTTAAATTCCATGCAAAGCATCTCGTTTGTTGCCAGTGGGGCTGCTAATACTTCTCCCTGGGGCGGGGTGGGGCAGACAGCAAGCGGCTGCCTGCACCTTGCTAAGCGTGGAGCCAGGATGAACTCACTTCGTCCTCAGGACGCCCACAGGAGGTGGGTACCGCCGAGATCAACCCTACTGCACAGATAAGGAGGCTGGGGCACAGAGCAATTTAGTGACTCACCCCCTGCTGCTGGGCTGTGAGCCTCTGTGGACGCAGGTCCTTAAGCTTTGGGCTCTGGTAGCTTTCGGTCAACTATACATATTGATTAAGGACCTGCTGTGTGCCAGGCACTGTTCTGGGAGTTGGGGACACAGCCAGGAACAAAATAGACAGGTTTCTGGTCTTGTGAAGGTTTTTCATTCTAGAGGGAAGGGAGCCAATAAAACAAAGACGTGTAGTGTGTAGTGTGTTGGTGGTCGGTAAGGGTTATGGAGAAAAAAGCAGGAAAGGGGAATATCGAGTAGTATGAGGTGTAGTTTAACTTAAAAAGGGTGGATAGGAAAGAAGTCCTTGCAGAGAAGGTGACTGAGTGAGGACTTGAAGGGAGGGGGAGTGTGTGGGGGTTTGAGAGAAGAGTAGAGGAGCTAGTAAGTGCAAAGGCCCTGAGGTAGGGGCAAGGTGACAGGTCTGAGGAACATCCAGGAGATGGAGAGTGTGGGGGGAGGGGAACAGAAGGTCAGGGAGGTGAGGTCGACCTTGTGGGCTGTGGTGAGGACTTTGGCTTTTACTCTGAGGTAGGCGCAATAGGAAATTGTTGTTCTTTTAAAATATCTTTATTGCCCTGGCCAGTTAGGCTCAGTGGTTAGAACATTGGCTTGTGAACTGAAGGGTCACTGGTTTGATTCCCAGTCAAGGGTATGTACCTGGATTGTAGGTTTGATCCCTAGCCCTGGTTAGGATCATGCCGGAGGCAATCAATCGATGTATCTCTCTCACAGAGATGTTTTTCTCTCTCTCTCCCCTTCCCTCCCTTCCCCTCTGTCTAAAAATATTATCCGGTAAGGATAAACAACAACAACAAAACAATATTGCCCTGGCCAGTTTGGCTCAGTGGTTAGAGTGTCAGCCCGTGGACCAATGTGTCGTGGGTTTGATGCTGGTCAAGGGCATGCACCTCGGTTGCAGTTCATCCCCGGCCCTGGTCGTGTGGTACAGGAGGCAACCAGTAGATGTGCTTTATCACACTGACGTCTCTCTCTCTTTCTCTCTCTCTCTCCCTCCCTCCCTCACTCCCTCCCTCCCACTCTATTTGATAATAAGTGAAAAAATATCCTCGGGTAAGGAATTATAAACAAAAAACAAAACAAAAAATGATAATATCTTTATTGACATGTAATTCATATAGCACACAATTCACTCATTTAAAGTGCACCATTCGGTGGATTTTAGTCTATTAGTCTATTCACAGAGTGTGCAACCACCACCACAATCAACTTTAGAACATTTTCAGCACCCCCAAAGATGCCTCGTACCCCTGACCCCCCTCTTTCCCAGCCTAGGCAACCACTGATCTGTTTCCTGTCTCTGTGGGTTTGCCTTTTCTGGACATTTCTTATCAATGGAACCACACACTATGTGGCCTTCTGTGTCTGGCTTCTCTCGCTCAGCATCACGTTCTCAAGGGCCGTCCACATCACAGCTCGTCACTGCTTTGTTCCTGTTCACGGCCGAATCGTATTCCATTGTGTAATGTTCCGGCTCATCCGACTGACGGAGAGCTGGGCTGTGAATAGCGCTGTAACAGGACACAGTTTTCATTTCCCTTGAGTACACCTTGGTGTCACCTGCTGGGCCACCCAGGAACTCCGGGCTGGCCTTTCAGGGCTGTGTTCCAGACTGTCCCCACAGCAGCTGCCCTTGGGGCTGGGCAGCAGCGGAGGAAGGCTGGGTGTCTGCATGCCTTTGCCAGCACACTGTCTGTCCCTGCGCATGAGAGGGTTTGGAGCGGGGGACGAATGTCCGCCGACTGGCGTTTGCGAGCTACCTCCGACATCAGTGTGCAGAATATTTTACTGTCATTAATCTCTTCTCCTCCTGCACCCTTGGCTGTCCTCCTCCCAGAAGGCCTGTCTCTGAAACACGACCAAGGCTGCTTCTTCTTTGCTTGCCCCCCCACCCCCAGGAAGTGCCACCCCTCTAGGAGTCACGGGTGGTCATGTGTCAAACATCCTTTCTTCTCTGCCCTTCTCTCTTGTCAGGTGACAGTGGTGTGACTTGAGGGCACTCCTGCCATGGCCTTGGGCTCTCTTCGGTAAGCACCACGCACGTTTGGACCTTGAAGACTCAGTAATAAACAAAAAGTGAGATTGGGTGAGATGTTCAAGGCGAGTTGGTCCTTGCTGAGGGGGTGGGAGGTGTCAGGGCCAGTGCAGAGCCCAGATTTTTAGTTAATTGGTTAATTCCCAAGAACTACAAACGCAAAAAAATAAACTAAAACAACCCCAAAGCTGGTGATTGTTGAGGCCTTGAGGAATTCAATGCAGTACATTCATTAATCAGTGTATTGCTTAATGAATGAGTGGATTAGCTGACTGATGGCTGCAAGTCTGCTGAGTAATGACGAGATGATTTGTGTTAGCAGGATCGGTTTCCCAAACCCTTTCTTCACAACCCCTTGGAGAGAGGCCCTTATTATCCCCATTTAACAGAGGAGGAAACTGAGGCACAGGGTGGGCCAACCCACTTGCCCCAGGACTTTGGGGTGGCAATCCCTGGAGTATGGATTTGTGCAATCAGTTCCCATCTGGCACCACAGCCTTGCCCTAGTCACCCTGATCTAGGTCAGGGGTGGGCCCTGCTCCTAGCACCCTAGACCACGTTGGGTTTCCTGAGGGGAAGACAGTACCAGGCCAGGCTCTCTGGCCAATATATGGTAGGTGTTTAATAAACACCGACTCAGGCCGGGGCAAATTGCTTAAGGAGAGGAAGCTGCTCCCTTCCAAGGGTGAATATGAGTTTCAGAAGGTCTCTCTTGGAGCCCTCAGGGACCGGCCTGTCTTCCCCAGGAATCAGGGGCACTGCCCTTCCTTCCCCGTGTAACCCTTGCCCACCTAGTAACTCACCTAGAGAATAAGAGGGTTGGCCTACATCTGGGGTCCAGAACTCAGTGCGGGAGGGGGTACTGCAGGCACGAGCCGGCAGGCCAGGGGGAAGACTGCAGGGGACAGACCCACACACTCACCCGTTTCAATGTCTTGGAGGGCTTACTATCTGCAATTACACAGCATTCATGTGCTCATTTCTCATCATCTGTGGCCTCTTCACTAGAAAGCAGACTGAGATGTGTTGATTTCATCTCTCGCCTGCTCCCTTTATCGCAATACTGAGCTGCGTGTGCCAGGCCTCAGCTCAGGGCCAGCACCCGGAAGGCTCCTGGTTGCTTCATTCTGTTTACTGTGGACAAGAGCGCTCCGTTCCAGGCAGTGGAGACAGGGCTGGGCCAGCTTCTGCCTGCAGCATCCTGGTTGGGAGCCGTGGTCTGAATGCAAAGCACGAATGAAAGTGTCCCAGGACAGGTGGTGCTGGGTGATAAGGGCGAGGGGTGGGCTGGGACAGCTGGCAGTATTTTATTTTACCCAGGGTGGCGGGCAGGCTTTGCTGATAAGGTGGCCCGCAGTCCTGAGGGAAGGAGCCAAGCAGATACCTGGGGGAACAAAATCCAAATCCAGGGCGTACAAGACCCGGAGACAGGAGTCCCAGGCTTCTGCCAGGAACAGTGAGGCTGGACTAGAATGTGTGGGGGGAGGCCGGGGTGCGGAGGCTGGGGCGGGGGAACCCAGCTGCCATCCCCTCGGGCGGGAAACTCCTACTAAAAGTGAACAGTGATGACGGTCACAACAGGGGAAGTGGGAGTTGAGGAAGGGCAGGGCGCGTAAGGGGGGAGGTGTTGGGGGAGATGGGAGGAGGGGAGACAGGAGAGAGCAGGGGAGAAGATGGGGAGGAGGTGTGGGCAGGGAAGGGGTGAGCCGGGCGCAGGTGGGAGTTAGGAGGGAGAGGAACAAAGAAGGGGGAGGGGAACCAGGTCCAACTGACATCCTGGCACGCGGGACGCCGGGCCTCCGCGACTCCTCTCGCGTAAACGGAAGCGAGGGCGTGTCGGCCCCGCCCCCTCGGACCGTCCGATCTTTGCCCCGCCCAGACCCCGCCCAGACCCCGCCCAGACCACGCCCCGCCAGCCCAGACCACGCCCCCGCCGGCGGGCGCCTTCCCGAATCCCGGTGCCCAGGGAGTCTCGGGGGCGGTCCAGCGGCGCCCTAGATGGCGCATAAAACCGCTGGCCACCTGCGGGACCGCTCCTCCGTGTGCCGCTGTCCGAGGCCCGTGGTGTCGCTGCGGCCCACGTCCCCAGAGTCGCCGCTTCTGTCACCTCTGCCCCCGACCCCGTCCCCTCCAGGCGCGGAGCCGGAGCGCCGCGTGGGCACCAGGGCGCGCTGACATGGGCGGGTGCGCCAGAGCGCGCTGGGCGACCGCGGCGCTGGGCTTCCTCGGGCTGCTGTGCGCGGTGCTGGGCGCCGTCATGATCATCTCGGTGCCCTCCATCATCAGGCAGCAGGTCTACAAGGTGGGTGACGGCCCGGCGGGCTGGAGGCCCGGGCGCGAGCAGCCGCTGCCCGCCTCCCAGCGCTCTCCCGCCAGGCTGGGTCGGGAGGAAAGAGGGCACCTCGGGGCTCTGCTGGAGGCCCGCGGGGAGGCCTGGGTGACCGAGCACGCGGGAGCCCGCCCTCGCCCGGGGGCTGCCTCCCGGGGCGTCCTGGCGTGCGCCCCGCCGAGGTGCTGCCGGGGAGGTCAGGAGCGCCCTCGCACGCCCGGGCGGTGTCTGCCCAAACTAGGCTGCGCTTGGCCTGCTCACCGAGCCCCCAGGACAGGAACCCCACATGCATGTGCTTCCGAGAGGCTCCCCTGGGTGCCCAGGCCGAGCCAGTGCTCGGTGGAGCGTTCTCCGCCGCCCCCTCCGCCCTCCTGACGCAGGCTGCAAAGGCTAAGCCGCTTTTCTCCCAGGGTCAGCAGAGGCGGCGCAAGCCCAAGGCTGAGTGAGCGGGGTCCTCGGAGAGCTCACAGCCCGAGGGCTTTTGTCTGATCCTGACCTCACTTACACAACACTGCCCTTTTAACCGGGGAGACAGGTGAGGGCGGGCAGGTGGCCTGCAGACGGTCAGGTTCCGCCCAGTGTGTCTGGAGTTACTGAAGGAGGGAGACTGCAGTCTGCACTCAGCGAGAAGCCTTCAGAGCTTCGAAGCCAGAGCCAGCACCTGCGGAACCGGAGGGGAAGCAGGCTCACCTCTGCCCTAGATCCAGCCAGACACAGGGCTGCGCAGAGGTGGACGTTGTCACTTGCTGTTGATCCTCTTTTTCCCTTAGCCTGCTTCTTGAGGAGAACTTAAGAATGGACATTTGCCCACTTTTCTGTGCCCCATGCCCAGTGTAGGAGGCTTGGAGGGTGAATGAGTGAATGAACGCAGGCTCCGCCGCCTGCTTAGACCTGGCCCACCCTTCCTGGGACCCAGCCTCCTTGAAAGATGGATGGGACAAAGTTAGGCTTTGCTCAAGGTCTCTGGGGGGCAGTTGTCTGAGTCATTTTGGCCACACCGTGTCATTGTTTCTTTTTCATTTTTTTGGTTTTCAAATCTTGTCCTGTTAAATCCTATAATCTGATTGTATGGGGAGCCTGTCGGATGACACTGAATACCGAGCTCCCCTTCATTTTTTTGGTCCTCTGGGGCTGGTGGGGGAAAAGCTTGAGTGGGGAACCTCAGGACATAGAGTTGCTTCTTTCTGTCCTGTGGCGGCCAACGGGTGCATGTCTGTCATACTTTTCGAAGTAGCTGCGAGAGCTTTGTCTCGAAGGCCCTCGGAACTCCCGCCGGTTCAGTGGCTGCTGTGCTGTGTCCCTGGGGGACTGTCACTCCATGTGAAGCATTGTGAGCCTCTTGCTTTGTGCGGGGGGGTGTGGGGTTTACAGTCGATGAAGAAACTTGTCAGCTCAGTCACTCTCGGGCTCGTTTCGGGGCTTTTCTCTCTATGCCTGTGGAGCAGGTTAAGGACGTTAGTTCTGTGTGTGTGTGTGTGTGTGTGTACGTGTGTGTACGTGTGCACATGTGTGTATGCACGCACCACCCAATTCCCCGCTGCTGCTCTGGGCTTGCAAAGAGGACAGTGCTGTCGTCCTCAACTGTCCAGGGGTGAGGACTCCTGGGCCCAAAGCTGCGTGAGAGCTACCCAGCACCCGACTGACCATCTCTCAGGCGATTGGCTTGGGGCTGAGTGGTGTGAAGGCAGGAAGGCAAGCCCAGCCCGGCCCGGCCTCTTGGCCAGTCCCCCTGAGTCCCAGCCAAGTCCTTCCCGAGGAAGAAGGGTGCCAGTGTTCGGGGGCCGAGCCAGTGGGATGCTAGGAGAAGGGGGGGCTGCCCGCTGGTGTTTTCCTTGGCTGCACGTGTCCATGTCAACTTGAATGGGCGGCTTGTGCTTCGATTTCTATGGTTTTTGGCTACTTTACTTAAAAAAAAAATTCAAATGGAGAAAAAAAGAAGAAAGTTCCCTCCATTTTGTTCCCCTCCTCAGATAATAGCCCCATCATTGGCGGGGCTTTTTCTAGACCTTTACCAATGTATACATCACAGTCACTTCTACACCCTGAAACATGTTTTTACGTAGGTGAACTATACTACGCACAAATGTCCTGCAGCTTGTCTTTATTCACTGATACAACTTGAAGCCTTTCCCTTGTAAGAACATACAAATCCATCAGTTTTGCCCTGGCCGGTTTGGCTCAGCAGTTAGTGTCAGCCCTCAGACCAAAGAGTCACGGGTTCGATTCCAGTCAAGGGCACGTACCTCAGCTGCGGTTCGGTTCCCGGCCCTGGTTGGGGTCATGCAGGAGGCAGCCAGTCCATGTGTCCCTCTCACGTTGATGTTTCTCTCTCTCCCCCTCCTTCTCTACCTGAAGATAAACAGAAAAAATATCCTCCCATGAGGATTAAAAAAATAATAATAAAATAAAACAAATCAATCAGTTTTTTTCACTGCTTCTTGGTACTCCTTTGAATGGCCAAACACTTTGTTATTTACCTGTTTCTCTACTGACAGTTTTCTTTGTCACAAACAACCATACAGTTTGGATGTGTACTTCCACCAACTCTGTGGAAGTAGCCACTCCCCCACATCACTGGAGAGAACCCATTTATTATTGCCGTATTATTTATTTTTTTGTTACTCTGGTGGTTCTTTAAAAAAAATTTTTTTAAATTGATTTTAGAGAGAGAGGAAGGGAGAGGGAGAGAGAGAGAGAGAAACACTGATGAGTGAGAACATCGACTGGCCACCTCCTGCGTGCCCCCCACTGGGGATTTGGCCCACAACCTGGGCATGTGCCCTGACCAGGTCTAGAACTGGCGATCTCTTGGTGCAGGGTCGACGTTCAGCCAGTGAGTCACACCTGCCGGGCTCTGGTGCGTTTCATTTACATTTCCCAGGTTGCTGATGGGGTTGAGCAGAGACGAGAGCTTTGTAGTCCTGGTCAGTGTCCAGAGCGCAGAGTTACAGACCCAGCTGGGCCAGGTCCCAGGTGGGAGGACTCGGGCTGGTCACTTCCCCTGTGACACAGGCGTCAGATCTAGTTTGTGACCTGGTGAGACTATTAAGTACAAAGTTGACTACATGTGTGTGGAAATACCCTGGATATACCTAATCCCTTATTTGAATCCCATCACAGCCTTGTGAAATAGGCAGAGGTGGTGGTATTATTTCTTCCACAGATGAGGAAACTGAGGCAGAGCAAAGGTCAGCAACGTGCTGGAGTTGACACAGCTGTGCAAGTTATGGGCGGGAACCCTGATCGCCGCCAAATCTGGGTTATAGGAAATAAAGTGGAGCTCTTCGTTGGGTGGGTTTCCCGGCAAAAGACAGAAAGAAGAAACTAGATATGCATGTTTTAGCAGTGGTAGGTCAAAAAAACACGTCAGTAATTCAGAAAAGCTCTGTGCTATTTACGTTTTATTGTTTTAATTTTAAAAACTCCATGAAACAACATTCTGTATTTCCAGTGGGTTAATATTAGTGTGTAACAGCTCAGGAACAGGTGTAAAGGCACACACCCGATGGACAACAGAGGGTCCTCCCGAGGGGGGAGGGGAGCGAGGAGGGGGGGTGGGGGGGGCTGGAGGCCTGGCCCAAGTAAACTTACGCTGTACCTGTAATGCTCCGACTTTTTTTTCAAACAAAGAGAATGTTTTGTTTTGTTTTTTTAAGTTTTAAAAAATATCCTCACTAGAGGATATTTTTCTATTTATCTTCAGATAGAGTGGGAGGGAGGGAGAGAGGGAGAGAGAGAGAGAGAGGGAGAGACATCCATGTGAGAGACACAGTGACTGGTTGCCTCCCGCACCACCCCAACCGCGGCCCGGGGCAGGGACAAATCGCAACGGAGGTACGTGCCCTTGACCAGAATCGAACCTGAGACTCATTGGTCTGCGGGCTGATGCTCTAACTGCTGAGCAAAACCGGCCAAGGCGAGAAGGTTTTTTGTATTATGCGTTTAATTAAAAATTAGTAGCTGCCCTGGCCAGTTGGCTCAGCGGTTAGAGCATCGGCCTGCGGTCCGGAGAGACCCGGGTTCGGTTCCCGCTAAGGGCATGTACTTCGGTTGCAGTTTGTCCCCGGCCCTGGTTGGTCGTGCGGGTGGCAGCCACTCGATGTGTCCCTTTCACGTCGATGTTTCTCTCTCTCTCTCCCTTCCTCTCTCTCCCTCCCACTCTATCTGTACAAAAAATGGAAAAATATCCTCAGGTGAGGATAAAAAAAAAATTAGTAGCGATGGGGAAAAGGAGAAACATCTGTAACAAAAATAAATTAATAAAAATTGGAAAAAAAAAAGAACAACAACAACAAAAAAACTAGTAGCGGATCCATAGCTGTCCCCAAAGAATGGCCAAACAGAGGAGACCCCAAACCAGGAGGCGCGCAGTGGAGCCCAGGGTCCCGAGTCTCCAGGAGGAGATCAGGGGAGGAAGGGAAACTTCTCTCTTCCCTTCCCCCAGAGGTTAGGGGTGGATGCGAGGTGTTCAGACCTACCCCAGGGAGCATCATCATGAGTCACCGTGTGCCAGGCATGTTCAGAGACTCTCTGACTCTCTGAACATCCTCTCCTTGAGTCCCGAGAGGATTCTGTGACATGTTTCGTCATCACTGACTGTTGGGAAACAGAAGCTTAAGATGGTGGTGTGCTCCAGGACCTGGCTGGTATGTGCCTGCCTGTGTGACAGAGTGTCCTGGAGGCACGCGGGGGTGGGGGCGGACTTCTGTGCTGCCGCCCGCGCCGGCCCTCTGCTGGGAGCGCACGAAGGCACAGTCCGGTGTCTGGGGGACATTTCTGAGTTACCCTGTGTCTCTGGTGCACCAGGGAGGGCCTGCTGCAGCTGGGCCGCAGGGGCTTGCCTGCCGGGCCAGTGTGCGGTGACGGGATGTGTGGCCTTCTCCAGGAGCAAGAGGGAAACCGAGTCTTCTCTGCTGTCTTCCCCGTGGTTTCTGGCCGGACCCAGCCTTGGGTGCCTTGGTCTCTACTTTTCC